AATAATAACACTCCCTGTACAATGACAGAGTCTATTTACGTATTACACATGTCAGGTCCAACTAATCCCATGTATATTGGAGAAAAAAAACTGACCACTTATCAAAAGCTTGTGTCTCAGAAGGGAAGGCGCCCCACCCTTTCAACAGAACCAAGTGCCCTGCCAATGACAATCGATCCCTCACCATCGACAAAAGTTCAGCTACTTCCAGAAGAGGAGTGGAAATTGAAACCACAGGATAAGTTGCTATGATGTAGCATTAGTAAGGTAGTGCACTGCTACCCCACAATAACCACCGTCATTGGTAATGTACCAGGCCGCTTTCTCAACAAGCTGGTTCAACCCCGGTTCAACAGTACTCTGTCAGTACTCTAGGGGAAACATTGCTGCAAAACTAAAATAAACAAATTCATGGGTATTTCTTGGTAAGAGTAAGTGGGTCATTCTTACCAGGTAATCCAGGCTGTCCTGGAGGTCCTTGGGGTCCAGGAACGGGATTGGTTCCTCCAACGCAATTCACACAAGTCTCACCCTTCTGACCTGAAATACCAGAAGACCATTGGTGTCACTGACAGACATTAAATCGTACGTAATGAAATATTTCTGATGAATATTTATTTCTGTGTTTCTATGAGTCACTCAACAGCATCACATCTTTTCTCACCTTTCTGGCCTTGCTCTCCTTGATAGCCTCTTTCACCCTGGACCCCAGGAAGGCCTGGTGCCCCAGGAATGCAGGCTTGGCCTGAGCTGGAAAAACCTGGAAGTCCAGGGGGACCTGGTGGACCAGCAACCCCAGGAATCCCCGGCCGTCCAGGGGGACCAGGCAAAGAAATTGATGGCTCTCCAGGGACTCCTTTTTGACCCTTGTCTCCTGGGAAACCTGGAGGTCCAGGAGGACCACTCCCACCTATACCTGGAAGCCCTGGTGATCCTGGAGGTCCTGTAAAACCTGAAGAAAACAGGAGGAAAAAGTCCACATTTTACAATGAATAAAATACTAGCTTCAGACATTTACTTTGTCACTATCTTTCTAATGCAACTTTTGTCTTTTTGTTTGAGTGTTTTGTATTTACCTGGTGGTCCTCTATCTCCTTTGATTCCAGGTGTTCCAGATAAACCAGGCTCACCTTTAGGGCCAACAATACCTCCATTTAGAGGACCGGCTACCTGATAGAACAATGAGATGAAAAAAAAAGAATATTCAGAATAACAACAATTAAACTAACCTAATAACTGTATTTTACATTTTGAAGGAACAAACGATACAATAAACTTTGCAAATAACTGTACTACCACAGAACCAGTGACGGGTTTTCTATTTCTACTTTGCTAGCAATGAATGAATTACAAATTAAATACAATCAAAACTATTGTTTATACTAACTCTACAGGGTGTATCAGAAAAAATGGTACTCTCAGAAAAATCACCATAAAATTAACATAGACAATAATTTTGAAAATGTGGGCATAATCTTCGGTAGAGATGATCATTCTTCTTCGAATGACACCAAAATCTTAGTTAATGTTTCATGCTCCAGTGAGCAGGGACAGTTGGAAATTCACAAAATTCATGTCCTTTTGCACAAGGAAATGTGAGGGTTAAAATACGATCATTCACATAAAATTAAAAGTTTAGATGGTGTTTTACATGCATGCTAAGACGTTTTAAAATAATTATGGTAACCCTTTCATGTCCTAACGTCGAAACAAAAATATCTCATTTTTGAGTGGATCATAACCAAAGGTTAACAGACACATGCGAAGTGGCTGTGGACAAGTCAATCCAGCCAGCGGCAGCCATGGAAGCTCCACTAGATTTATATATCTTAGGGGAGGCCGCATCCAGTGCAGTAAGGCTACGCCAGTCTGGTAGGTGGAAAAGCCTATCTGAATCACAGCACACTAGAATCTGGGACTGGGCAGTTGCTGCTGTTCCAGTAACTGCAGGACCTGGAGACAGAATGGTCAAAAAATACAATTTTGAGCCAAGTTTTAAGACAGAGATAGAAGACTAGGGCTGCAACTAACGATTATTTTAATAATCGATTAATCTGTCGATTATTTTTTCGATTAATCGATTAATC